ACTTGGAACGCTTGAGGTGCAGATGGTGGGCGCGGAGGGCGTTGAAGATGATGCCGATGTGCTGCAGGTATTCAGCCCACGACGAGCTGTAAATCAAAATGTCGTCGAAAAACACCAGGACAAACCTGCGGAGGTACGGTCGGAGAACATCGTTCATGAGTGTCTGGAATGTGGCCGGGGCGTTGGAGAGGCCAAAGGGCATCACCAAGAACTCGTAGTGCCCTTGGTGAGTGCGGAACGCCGTCTTGCTGATGTCGTCCGGGTGCATCCGCACCTAGTGGTAGCCGGAACGCAAGTCCAGCTTCGTAAAGAAGCGGGCGCCGTGAAGCTCATCAAGGAGCTCGTCCACGACCGGGATCGGGAATTTGTCCTTGGAGGTCTTGGCGTTGAGGGCGCGGTAGTCGATGCAGAATCTCCAGGAGTTGTCCGCCTTGCGGACCAAAAGGACCGGGGCAAAGAACGGCGACGAGCTGGGGCGTATGATCCCCTGTGCGAGCATCTCTGCACACTGCCGTTCCAGCTCATCCTTCTGCAACTGCGGGTAGCGGTAGGGGCGCACAGCGATAGGGGCCGTGCGCGGCAGGAGGTGGATCCTGTGGTCGTAGGGCCGGACCGGTGGAAGGCCGCGAGGCTCGTCGAAGACGCTGGCAAACTGGTGGAGGAGCCGGTCCAGGAGCGGCTGCCCTGGGGACGTGTGGATGGCCCGGACCGCGGGCTCCCGAATGTCGTCGCGGGGGGAGCCTAGTCCTTTCCACAGAAGGCGGCGGCCACCGTGAGTGAACGCCATGTAGAGGTCCTCGAAGTCCCACAGGATGGGTCCGAGGATTCAGAGGAATTCAACACCAAGGATGAGGTCGAACTCGCCCAGGCTAATGCCGAAGCAGCTGATGGAGAACTCCTCGGTGCCAATGGCGAGGGATACGTCGCGAGCAACCCCTTGGCACGGAACACGGTCGCCGTTGGCCACCAACACCCGCAACATAGGGTGGGGGGTGGTGGCTAGCTGAAGCCGGCGCATAAGATCGGCGTTGATGAAGTTTGTTGTTGAGCCGGAGTCAAGAAGCGCCACCACGCGGTGGCCGTGTACTGTCATTGGTAACAGCATGGCGTTCTCCGCGCGCACGCCAGCTAGCGCGTGGAGGGAGACCTTGGGCTCCACCGCCATGCCGGTCTAGGCAAGCTCCGCGGCGTCCGGGCCGAGGGAAAGGGCAGCGGCCGCCTCCTGCGCCTCCGGAAACACGGCCGCAGCCGCGACCTCCGCCGGCACCTCGTCGTCGAGGAAGTCGTCGGTCTCGAGGTAGAAGAGGCGCTGACAAACGTGGCCGCGCACATAGGGCTCATCACAGTTGAAACACAGTCCTTGGCGGCGGCGTTCCTGCTGTTCCGCCGGTGACAAACGGCGGAATCGCGGCTGTCCGTCCGGCCGCCTTTGGTGTAAACGCCGGCGGCGGTAGGGCTCCTCCCCACCAGCGGTGGTGTTGGCCCGCCGAGGAGGCCACAGGCAAAGCCAGGCGCCCAGGCCGGCGTTACCTTCTTTGTGGCGGTGCGGGCGGAAAAATTCGCCGCCAGACGCTTCAGACGCCCGGCGTAGTACATGGCCGACTGAAGGTCGGGCGGATGGCGCATCTCGACGTTGACCTTGATGTGCTCGGGGAGGCCACCCACGAACAGTTCCGCCTTCTGGCGAGGATTGAGGTCGCGAGCATGGCAGAGCACGGCATTAAAGCGGTCCGAATACTCCTGGACCGATGACTGGAAGGGTAGCCGGGCGAGCTTTCGGCCACCAAGCGTGCTGCGTTGCGTTGGGGGCGAAACGGGTGACATGTGTCGCGAAGCGTTCGAGTTGGCATGCCTTCATCTTGTTCCAGCGCATAGTACCAAGTTTGAGCAGCGCCACGAAGATGGTACGAAGCGAGCCATGTGCGATCCGAAGCCAATGTTCGCTGGCCGCGGAAAAACTGCTCGCAGTGGTTGAGCCAATTGAGCGGATCAACGGCGCCGTCGAACGTCGGGAACTCCAGCTTGTAAAATTTGGGAGGGGCATGGGCGCCGTTGGGAGCAGCGGCAGATGAGTCCTCGGCGGATAGGTCGCCGCCGGAGTACCCGCCTCCACCGTAGATGAGGGTACCGTCCGTCCCTCCAGAGAAGATGCCGCTGATCGGGGGCGGCTGGTGCGCCCCGGAGGACGCCGCGACCGCAGCCGCCGACGGTGTAGGGGTCGTGGCCAGCGTGTAGATGGGCGGGGGCGTCAAGCCCATCGCCCACGACAGGATGGGAGACGGCGAGGCCGGCCACCGCAGCAAGTGGAGGGCACCCCGTCCCCGCCGGTGCAGGGCATGCCGTGGGGAAGAGCGCTGCGGTTGCGGCGCGGCACCGGAGGAGGTGGTGGTGGTGCTGGCTGTTGTGGAGGGGGAGGTGGTGGGATGAGGGCGGCCAGGGTCGCCTGCATGGCTGCCATGCCGCGGGCAATCTTAGCCACGTCGCCGGCCAAAGATTCCAACGTCAGGGGCGCTCCCGAGGATGCGGACGACAATCCCGACGCGGCCGACGGCGCTGGTGCTGATGGCACGGGCAGGGAGGCGGACGTGGAGGCAGCGGAGGAGGCCATGATCGGCAAGGTCTCTGGTACCAAGTTGATAGGACTTGATGCCCTACCGGCGTTACTGCGTAGGTTATAAGGGTAAAAGAGGGGAGGACGTGGTCTGTACTCTCGACGTCGGCGAGGGGCCGTGGCGGCGAGAGTGCGGCGACTGCTGCTGCAGCCCTAGAACGTCCGCGGTGCTACAGTGGCGGCGGCACTGTTCACACGAGACCAGCAGGAGGCGAGTAGGGTTAGGAACTCCCGGCTCCCTTCAGGAAGCCGGAAACAATTCTGTTTCTGCTTATCCCCCAAAGTAGTCTTACAAAGTATTTATATGTCCTCTAATAATAATAATAGAAATAACCCCCTAATAATTATAGTAATTCCGATAAGAACTAAATACTGATAACTTGGGCCTTCTGGGCTTCTCTTGCGCGGGCGTGGCCTAGCCACTGGAAGGGCGCCTGGTGTACTGGACGCCCGTCATAACACTATATTTCTTTGAAGCCTCGCTCATCATTTTCGTTCAACCATTATTGTCTTACATGATTTTTTTTCTTTTCTTTATACTAGGTAATGAGGACAGTCCTCCAGAGCAAAAAAATTCAATCTCAGCATCAGGCTCATCGCAAGATGCTAAAAAATCAAATTCAAGTAAGCTTTTTAGTGCCTCCATTGGACCATTATGATTTGATAAGCACATTACTTGTATAGAGCTGAACAGTTAATTAAGGATACCACAATTTTCTGGGTTAACCTTTGAATCCAGAAATAATACTACATCTAGAGTTCGTTTTGGATCGCCCTTTTGTTTTCATTAAGAAACCTTTTTTTTATTGTTTTTCACAAACTCACACTTTTATTTTTTACTATAAACTCTGGATACCATGTTAACTGTTCTATCCATAGCATCTATCTGCTACTAACTAAGAAGTTTGTAAAGTTGATCATATGTGAGTGCAATTTTGTACATGATATATCTCCTGCTGATTTGGTTATGGTTATTTCCATTACAGCTAACCAAAGGACAGCACGTGGAAGTGGTGGAAAGGCTTCAGATGAAGCATCTCGTGGGAAAAATAAGTTCTTGGCGAAATGGTTTGGTTTTGGTTCAAAATAGTCTTTTTCTCATTTCTGTTAGTTTGATTAACAATTTAATTGATATTTCATGAATTTAAGAAGCATCATTATTTTGAGGAAGTACCATGTGAGAAAACTTCCCTCTACAGATTCCATTCATGTGAAAACCCAATTGTGCTTTTTGTAACTGTGTAAACTGGCCATTTGGTCAGATAAATTACTCTCCATGTTTACATTTGTGGCCTCTGTTATCGCAGCACTTCTATATTTATTTTAAGTGGAAATTCTGGGAAAATCTAAAAGGCTTTTGATGTGAACTACTAGTAGCATAACAAAGATGCACATATGGTATTACTAGTAGCATAACTGTGTTCCTAAAGTAAAATCTTATCAACCAGGGGGGAAAAGCAATTAGAATTAATAATCAGCATCAGGAAACAATTATTTTTACTCTACTTGAATTGCTCATTAAACTGCAGTTTTTTTCCCCTTGAACCCTATATGGTATTACCGGTGAAAATACACCATAAGCCCCCAAACTATTTCAGTTTGTACATTCAAACCTCAGAATCTAGTTTGTCATATAGGGCTCCCAACTATTTCGAACTTGTTCAGTTAAGCTTTTCATTCGAAGTTCTCCGCAATCTGATTCTGTTCAATCCTGATCCTTGTTTACTAAAATTACTGAATAAAACCATTCAGACTGATATATCTATGAGATTTATATTGATTTGAGTGGCCTGAGTGCCAAAGTTGCATGGTTCAAAGACCAAAATCCAATCAGGTCGTTACTTTACGCCCTGGTGAAAGTGTCGCGGTTGTATTCCTTGAGTTTACATCATCAATGGGACAAATTATGCTACAACCAGTCAGTATTCAGGGATTTGTGCCCCTATCTGCAGGGTCCTCGTTCTTGAACGGAGCAAAATTAAAGAAATTAGGAGGATCAAGATAAATTAGAAAGATAGTTCTTTTTTTTTTTTGAGAATTCAATAGTGCTCCATGGGAGGGACCAGCTCTTAGCTGGAGTTTCCCAGGATAAATCAACATGAATGCATGATTGGGAAAGGCAATGCCATTGCGAATCCTGCCTGTCATGTTTCTCTATCAGGACCAGCCTGTTCCTAATCCCCAGGACTATCTTGTGCCCCTCCAGTCCAATCCTCCATGTGATGGGAAGGATTAAGGAAGGAAGGTAAGAGAAAATGGCCCCAATCATTCATTTCGCATACACTTCCACCATATTCCAATAATCCATTAGTATTACATGATATGAATTATTGGTTCATAACATGGTAATAAGGTGTCCACTATAATGTAGAGGAACAGGAATCCTAGCTCACTCAAGTTTCCATGCGTACAGAAACAGGCAGAAATCAGAGTACTCATCAGTGTGGAGGTCCACAGCGGTGGTGGACGGCGGCTCGGGCTTGAAGATGAACAGTGCGTTCCTCATCCCCGTGCCAAAGAGCCAGTCGTGCGCGTCCCAGTACACCTGCACCTTGAGGTGGTTGATGGAGATGCACTCGTTGCCTCTGAACTTCCACTGCAGGTGCCTGACGAGGACGTTGACGGAGCCGTCGATCTTGATGACCATGTCGACGTCGACGCCGACGCCGGCGCCGCTGAGGTTGCTGCTGCTGCACTCGATGCTGATGTCGTGCAGCTTGCCCCTGTCGTGGAACCTGGCCTTGGTGAGGAACCGCTTCTTGCTGAAGACGTGCTCCTTCTTGCACACCAGGACGGCGTCCCGCAGCGACGGCCGCGACCCGGTGCGCCGGAACGCCTCCTTCTTGAGGTTGCCGAGGAGGAGCACGACCTCGTCGTCCGACACCACGGCGACGTAGTAGTCGGACATCGGCTCGGGCTCGTCGGAGTACCTCGCGCTCCGGAGGTCCCAGACCACGTCGACGGCCCTGCCGTCGACGTGGAACTGCTTGGCGCCGTACTTGCGCCAGAAGTGCCACGGCTGCATCTCCACCTTGCAGGCGGTGCTGCAGCCCTGCTTGGAGGACGCGCCGCCGCCACCGTCGGCGTCGCCCCACTCCCTGTCCCTGCTGCTGCTGCTGCCGCTGCTCCCGCTCTTGTCCTTGCCGCCGCCCTCCGACCCTTCGATCGACACGGACAGGCCGTGGGTGAGCAGGTTCCTGCACCACGTGACCGTCACCAAGCGGTCCTGTCCGGCGATCCCCGCGCGGTAAACCAGCGTCGCCGCGCTCTGCCCGGACCTGGTGGCCGCCGCGGACGCCGGGACGTCCGGCAGCTTCTCGCCCGCCGAGAAACACGAAGGGACCGAGAACAAGTCCTGCATCATGTCGATGCTGTGGCTGGCTTTTGGTGGTGGAACACAATGCGATCCTAGCTATCTATCTATCTATCTGATCGATCAATCGACCAAGGTATATATGCACCGGACCGGACCCTGAGAGTGAGGTCGACAGGGTGGCTGAAGGAAGAAGGCAAGCTTGCTAATCGCTATACATATAGGGATATAGGCGACTGCCATGCAAAGTTATGGAGTTGGGCGAGGGGACGAGGCGAGACGACCATGGGTTAGCAAACCGAGCTGGAAAGTGGGGAGGCCAAGAAAGTGAGCTGTACATGAAAGCGAGTGGATCGGAGGGAACAAACAGCCCTCGTCAGCCTAGCCAGCCTCATGGGGTGTTGCGTTGTTGGTGTTTAAAACCGGAGGAACCTTCTCCGCTTGCTTGCGTCGCGTCGAATAAATGCCCCATCTTTCAGGGACCAACCTTGGTTCTTTCAGCTGCCAGTATTTTCTAGTATTTCTATAGCAATTTCTACTGCCACTCGTTCACCATGGCCAGGAGGCCCCAGAGAAGGTGGTCTCGGCATGAGCTATCGGCGGCAGCATTGGAGTTGGATCTCTCGGGGGCCCTTCAGGTCTCGGCAGCGGCACGTGGGTGGCAAGTGGAGATGAGAGCCACAGGAGCAGATTTCTCGGTTTGCAGGCACGGGAGTATAACCTGTATCGTGCGTGCCCAACGATGGCCCCGTTCGCTTCGCTGAATAAATAAACCGAAACACTGTTTCGACTGATTTGTGGTGAAAGAAAAATACGGTTCCAACTGAAAAAGATGGATTATAAGATAAACGAATAGGGCCAATGTGTGCACGCAGTGGCAGGGGAGGGGAATGTAGGGCTAGATACTAGGCAGCCGAGATAACTGAGACAGTTACGAGTCTTTTGGGCTGTTCGCTGGTTGATTTCTGAGTTGATAAGCCCGACTGATGCTGGTTTGTTGTGAGATAAAAATACTATTAGTTGGCTGATAAGTCCTGACCGAAACCAACAAACCAACGGTCTGTTTGAATGAAATGTACTGCTACTCCTACTCCTACGCTGCAACTACTGTACTTGAAGAGTCGGTCGGGTCCTTGTACTCGGACAAAAGAGTGGTCAATGTTGGCTTTGTAGGCTGCGTGCTGGTGCTCCGCTCTGACTGACAGGGCATCTTCCTCTACCTGCACGTATACATGCAATGATGCAAATGCAAATCTTAAAAGAAGAGGATACGGCTGCTGACGTTCCTGAGCTCTTCTTGTTCTTGTCCCTGGATAAACCTGTAGACTTTCCTCTGTCGACGTCGTCCTCGCTGGCTAGCCATCTCAAAAAGATGTAATTTTAGAATAACGATAACTTCAAAGTTTGATTAGATTTATATAAAGAAGGCACTAACATTTATCAATCTAAATAAGTTCAGAGTCATACGTGTTAATAACATTTTGCTATAAATTAAGTTAAACTTAACATAATCTGTAACTTTGACCCGACATAGAATTGCATGGATGGAGTTGGCATGTGATGGGCAGGAGGCAGAGGCTGCCTCGTTGTGCACGGATGGTGACTGGGCGCAGTGATGACGGCGACGTGTGAGTCGAGACCTTCAATGTGGAACTGATCAGAGCATTTGGTGGCGAGTGACGGCGGATTCAACGCTCCTGAATACTGTACGCACTACCATCTCCCTCTTTCGTGTACCGTGTTGGACTGGACCAGCGGCCAAGGCCGATCGCCCAATGCATGCTTGTTTATCGTTTCCAGGCCTGTGACTCGGAGCCGGCCAAGATGAGCAAGTCTCAGCCTGGTGTTGAGGAGGTGAGAAAAGAATTGTTCAAGATCAGAGTCGATGATTTCCTGACTAGATCACAGGCGTTTCCTCCTCTGCCCTGCTCTCTGCTGTTTGACCGTACTGAGTCTTGATGCACCGTCATCGCTGACTTACATTCAGTCAATCTACGTACTCAGTTTGCACTTGTTTTACCCAGAAGTCAGAACATTATTACCAGGAAAAAAAAGTTTTGAAATTACATTTTGACAGCGATGTCACTTACGATTTGCGAACAGGGCTACACACTGACTAGTCTCAACAATCAACATCACATGTCGAGACATGAATTGGGTTGGCGCATGCTACAACACATCGGTTTGCTGCTAGGGTGCCGGCTGGTCTGCCTACGATATGTAGCCGATCTGCAGAACCTGGCCGGCCGGCCGAACGGCTGCCGACAGCTCCAGATCGGAGTCGTTGGAGAAGATAGACGGCCAGCGCGCGCTCACGAGCCCTGTCCCGCTGTCGTCCGAGCTCTCGCTCTGGCTCCCGCTCCCCGGCAGGTTAGGCAGAAGCGAACCGGACGAACCAGTGAACCACCATGCCGTGGCACGTGGCCGTGTCTGCGTGCGTGCCACGGACGGCCGGTGCCGGTACGAGTGCTCGCGCACCGGCCCGGGCCCGGCGCGTTAGTTCGTCGCAGTTGGCATGGAAGGAATCATGGAAAAGGGGTTCCGTTCGTGTGTGGCGCAGCCGATTGTGCCAACCCACCCTTGCCGGTTATCGATCCACCATGGATGTCGGATCAGGTGTATCTATGTCGGATCAGGTGTATCTACAGAGGGAGGGGAGGCACGAATCGGTGTTGCCATACCTTGGTGTTCGTGTACGAGGGGCACGTACCGGCCTGCCATTCTGTTCCGTGTGGTGGATTGCATTTGCATTGCTTGTACTGCATGCTCGTACAGGTTTTAGTTCTTTGTTCAGTTTGTTCTCTCAGTCAAGAGCGCTTGCCTGCTGCTGCTGGCGTTTGTTTCCTGTGTGGCCATACTCTACTGTTGGCATAGCCTGTGGAAAAGCGGTTCATGCACAAGTGATTGCGGGCATCGTTTACGGTGTGCCTTCCCTGGGCTGTACTGCTTCAGATTCGCTGCGCGCACGAGAGCTGATCAGCTTAGTGACCGACCGCGACCTGGCGTCCGGCAATCGGCCTCGTTGCCACCACACCATCACCCATACGTCCGCCGCGCCTTCTTCGCTACCGCCGCCACCTCCGGCCTCCCGGAGGCTCGCGCACAGGGCACGGGATGGGTGGCGTGCCGTGCCGCCGTGCGCCCGTGCCCGTGCGTCGCCAGAGGCTTCTGCCCAGAACGCATTTGCGACCTGAGCAGAACACAAGATCGAGGAAACGCCCGCAAGTGTCGTGTGCAGCGGCGCAGATTGTGCGGCTGGCGGCGAGATACGCTATGGCTGTGGGGGTCTATTCTTCCATTGCGTGCATCAGTCAGCGGCTAGACCCGATCGGATGTGTAGCGGCTGGATTCGCTGGGCACTAGTGGGTCGTGGGAATCACTTGTTGCAGCACACGGCTGGATATGTCCGCTTGGCCTTGCGGCGACGGGTGCCACGGAAATATCATATTTTTTTTAAAGGAAATATCAGATTAATAATAACATATATCAATAATATGAATAAATGGAAACTTTGTGCTAAGGGAAATGATACATGAATATGATCAATAATATGTTCGCTTGAACTACTTATCAGTTATGGTATAATATTTTTCTCTCATAACAAACCAGTATCAGCCGGCTTATCAGCCGCACAGTGTTTTTCTCTCACAATAAATCAGTGAACGGTACTTTCAGCCATGACTTTTTAGCGAAGCGAACATGGCTATAATCTTTTTTAATGAAAGAAGAATTATATTAAAATATAGCTGACTACATATCATGTTAAGCACTCTGGGATACAATACGCATACCCAAACATTATTTTTCATCTATATTATACCCATGCTTTGTATAGCTCTAAATAATCTTTGTGCCACATCTTACTCCCAAAATCGAAATTTTTAAGCCTTGTTCGCTTGAACTTATCAGCCTGGCTTATTAGCCATGATATAATATTTTTCTCTCACAACAAAACAGCATCAGCCGCCTTTTCAACCGCAAAAATCATCAACCGAACAACCACATATTTTTTCTGTAAAGAAGACTTCTCGTTGGTTTCATATTTATTAGAGACAACTGCTCTCTAACCAAAACTTCCTATTAGTTCCATCTTGATTAGAGATGGTATAAAAGTGGCTCAATGATCATGGCCCTGGTCGCTTATCTTATAATCCGTATTTTTCAGCTTGTTTTTTTAGCTGGAATAATATTTTTTTCTCACAACAAATCAGCCAACAATACTTTTAGCCATGGCTTATTAGCCAAGCGAAGGGAGACCATGAAGGTACATAGAGACTTTACAACTTAAATTGTTGAGGATTAATTAAATGCTACATGATTGACTTATCAGCCATGATACAGTGTTTTTCTCTCACAATAAATTAGTGAACAATACCTTTTAGACTAGCTTTTCAGCGAAGCGAACAAGGCCATAAACAACTTTGATCAATATATAGCCACAGGCCATGAAATAAATCATATAAAGCTTATTAAGTCTCTAGCAATAATTAACTTAACATAGAAAAAATGTACGACGTGATCATTATTCACTTAATTACATAAATGTAAAGAAGAAAATATTAACTTACTATAATGACTAGATAGTTACCATTTGTCTTAAATTAATCCCAAAATATCCTTAAACATTACTCGTGGCCTTCCTTAGAAATACCCAAAAGCCATATTTATCTTATGCCCAAGGATGAACCTTGTACATATGGCTTAGAATAATTTATTGGTGGTTAACAAAGCTATGACTATCAATAGCTATAAACAACATTGATCAACATATAACCATGAAAAATCACATAAATTTAAAACCCATAACTAAATTAAACCACACAAATTAAAAAATCCGTCACTTCAATTATGGCCAAATCCTTCCTTGTCAGTTCTAACCGAAACCCTAGGCTACTAATTGGGTTAATTGGAACATCAATTAGGTTGTACACGTGACTAATTTTGACTAACAAAGGCACAATTATCCCAAGTGATGAATGATTAGCACTAACATAGGGCAATTAAATCTTAAAAGAACATTAAGGATCATGAATTAGATAGGCTAATCTTAC